AGACTGATGCATTCGTTGGTGTGATGACCAACATCTTCATGATAATCACAGAATTTTTCTTGGTTCCTGTTGCTTGCAGAACCCTTCATGGGGATCGGCTTCTCAATTGAGATCCGTCCCTTGATTTCCTTTAGGATAGCTTGGCTGTCCTTACTAAACGCATACTTTGGGGAGTATGGTTTGAATTCTTTTTTCTTCTTCTGGGCCGGCTGTTTAGAGGAAATAGTCGCCCAGACCTCTTTTCTTTTCTTCTCATCTTTGTTCAACAACTGTTTCTGTCGCTCTTCTTTTTTGTCGAACCTTTTCCCGTCCGACTGTTTTGTACTGCAAAGATCAGTCGCCTGTATATAGGCTTCTACTTCAATCAAGGCCTCTTGAAGAGTCGCCACCCTCTTTCGGACCAAATCAAATTTGAATGTCAATCCGTCTTTGAGGCCTCTGAAAAAGTCAGTATAGGCTACCTCATCTGGTAACCCTTGAATCTGTATTCTCATCAGGTTTAACCGCCTGATGTAAGAACGAAGCCCCTCCTTCTCGCCCTGCTAAATCGTTCCTAAATCAAGGGTCGTCTTCTTCGCAGGTATGTTCATGGCAAAGTTGGAGGTGAATAAGTAAGCAAGCGTCCTGAAGTTATTTACACAACCAGTCGGCAGGTTGCCGAACCATTGTTGTGCGATTCCTTTGAGAGTCGTTGGGAAACACTTGCACCAAGTGGGATCATCCAACCCTTGAAGATACATCAGGTTAGTGAATGCCATAAAATGATCTTCTGGGTTAGTAGTGTCGTCATACGCGCCTACTAATACATTTTTCACTTTGGCCGGCTGAGCGGCTTCAGCAATTTCCTTGGAGAAAGCCGACGGCTGTTCCCCAAGTCTAAGCAACCGTAGCTGCCAGTCCATAGGTTGGACATTTTTTGCTGCATGCCCACCAAACAGAGGTGGCTGCAAAAAATATTGTTGTTGCGGTACAAATGGTAAGTTTGGTACCGCCTGGTCGCTATGAAAGCCGGACTGACGGGAGGTGTCGCCTGACTGACTCTTATGATACGACTGAGTATACTTCATCGAGGTATTGCGTAGACTGTCTTGGAAGTTTGAAGTAGAGGCCGACTCTGACAATCGGTCATTCTTCTTCTGTTCTAGCAATAGCCAAGCATCTGTGTATGTTTTCTTCGACCCGTCCGCCTGAATATGACGAACAGGTTTTCTCTTTCCTGGAGTAGGAAAGCGGTATTTTGTGAAATCAAGGGCAGGCGGCTCCCACTTCCTAGGGTTAGGATGAGGGGTCGCCTCTCGCCCTTGAACTGACTTCCTCTTCCCTGAAGTGGAAAGTTTCTTAGCCGACTGCTCCTTGGCCAGAGCAGGCTTCTTGTTGAGCAACTCTTGAATCTCTCCCTTGAAGCCCCTCATTAAGGTCATGAGTTCGTTCCTTGTAATGGGAGCAGACCCATCAGCCGGCTGCTGCTGAACAGGCGGTGCGTCGGCTGGATCACTGAGTCCAGTTTGAAGATGTTCCAGTTCCCTCCTTTCGGTATGACGGGTGCGTCGGGCCCTTAGGGTCCCGGCTGAAGCTGTGTGAGCTTCAACTTCAAATTCATTCTCAGTATCGTGGTTCGACTGAACTTGAGGGTCGTCTAGGGGACGCCTCTCTTCAGGAGTCGGTACAGACGTGGATGCCATCTCAGAAGTACTCTCCCCACAGACGACGCCAAAATGTTTCGGGGTTTTCTGATGTCCTGCGGGAGATTTACAATTCCGAGACTGGAACCGGACGCCTGTACCTGCAAAACAAACGGATGCTCCGGATGATTGGAGATCCGCCTCCGACGGTCAAGTTAGTACTTGATTAAGGAGTAATTAATGCGGAAATTAAAGTGATTGGGTCTCTCTAGGTGAGAGTGTTTAATGTGCGTAATCCCCCTTAATGAGGATTAAGGGAGGTATTTATAACCTTGGGAAACGTGCCAATCCTAGGTTTAGGTTAACCTTGGGCTGATTGGGCTTCCCTCGGAAATTGGGCCTGGGTGGCCGGTTTCTCCATTAGGCATGGAGTATGCCACGTGTCATGACATAATAGGTCCAAGGTGGACGAATAAGCGTGTGCCACGTAGCAAGCCCTGGCAGTTCCAACTGGGGGACACTTGGCAGGACCTGATTGGCCCACGTGGCGCATTCCAATTGGTGGGAGCAAAATCCCCTAATCAGGTCTCTCATAGTTTTTAAATATTTTAAATTAAAATAGCAGAGACCATTTTTTTACATAAGTGGTCTCTTTTTTTTAAAATACGTATGTGTGTGTGTATATATATATATATATAAATAAAGACAAAGAGACCAGTGGAAAGTCTAAATGGTCTCTCCATTATTCAATAAATTTAAAAAAAAAAAAAAAAAAAAATTCAATTTTCATTTTCACCATCAAACCGCCAAATAATTAAACACAAGACTACTTTAGCATTTCATTCTTCGAGACCTCTGCCATTTTCATCACCTTCATTCCGCCATTTTCACCTTAGCTTCCTCCATTTTCATTTCCTCTTTTCAAGTTCAAAACCCATTTCCTAACCTTCGTTGTTCTGGGTTTTTATAGACCACAAACCCTTAACCTAACCTCGCAATCGCTCCACCACCTATGGTCACACGGCTGCCGGAAAACACCACCTAGAGTGACATGGCTGCTAGAACCACCTAGAGTCACCTACCGGGTTGTTATATTTTGGGCAACATTATTGCTACTACCGGACAATTAACAAACCTGATACGGCCAGAAAACATTGCTAGCCTCCTCAATCAACTGCTGACACAGTCTACCTCCGGCCAACCACTGCCAAGAGGACCGGACGAAAAACCCTAAGCTAGGTATCATATTTATATTGATTTTTTTTTTTTTGCAGATATTATGTTGAATATGAATTTTGTAATTGTGTTTATTGATTGTTGTTCCATATTTCGTTTGGCTTTTTGTTGGAAACTCCCGACAACATTCCTTATAAAAAAAATATTTTAGCTTTGATTTTGTTTGAATTTTGTATATAAAAAAATATATTTTAGTTTGAATGTTGTAATTGTGTTTATTGAATGTTTTTCACTTTGATTTTGCTTGCCTTGATTTATATGAGTTATCTTTATTCATTCCTTATAAAAAAAATATATATATTTTAGCAAAGTATGGTAAAATTTTCCAAAATGTTAGGAAGAAGACAGGTCTCCTCTCCAATCATTCATTCACGAAATTGTATGATATTGCCAAAGATTAGCATAGATTTTATGTCACAATTACTAGATTAGTGACCATCAAAACAAAATAATACGTTGTCAATACATTCTTTAGATGCTATCAGGAAGTCTAGACTCTAGTGTACGAGAGTAAGGAATAGCTTAGGTGGTTAGAGTATATTAGTGTGGATATCCAATATGTATCACTTTGTTTGTGAATAATCAATATGTATTAGGTTCTCTCTGGAAACTTGTTTCCTCTTCAAAGAGATAGTTAAGGTTCCACGGCTGACACCCTCATTCACTCACTAAGATGCATGGAGAGTGGATGTCTTTTGCCATTACAGCTGCTTCTGTTTCTGTCTTGTGGCTGCTCTTGTTCAGTTTCCGCCATTGTTCTGTTTCTGTCTTCTGTTTCTGCTCTTGTGGCTGCTCTTGTTCACATAATCTTAATGTTTTTTTTTTCAGTTTACTTAACAACTTAATCTGTAGGCTGTATTATATTACTAATCCTTATGTTGTTGTTGTTAGTTCTTGGCTTGTCCTATTTTCCTCTTTTTGTACTTCTCTTCCAAGGCCTTATTTTGGACTCATTTTGTGTGGTCTGGTAGAAGTATTGATTTTGTTGTAAGATGTACTCTAAGGCTGTTTAGCCAATAATATATTGTTCTTTGTTGTATGTTAAAAAAAAAAAGATTGTTTGCAATGATGTTCTATTGTTATAGTACTCTGCTCTTGTTCACAATTATACAATAATTTTGGATTTTGATTTTCCCGTTTTCAATTATACAATAATTTTGGATTTTGATTTTCCCGTTTTCAATTATACATTGAGAAAGATACACCTTGCTCTTCTATTGCCATTGCATCCATTGTTCGTATTGGAACAGTAAGCCATTCAATTTATTTTGCCCTTCAACTATAATTTTGAACTTTTATTTTTATTTGCTGTTTGCTACGTTGGGCATGGGTATGCATGGTCGTATTGATGTTCTTGTTGTTTACTAGAATTGTTGTTCTTGTTTGTTGTTTGCTACGTTGGGCATGGGTATGCGTGGTCGTATTAGACCCCACTATTTTATGAAAAATTTCCTTATGGTGTATAATTAGATGTCAACTATCCGTAACCATGTTGGAGTATTGAGTATTTGACATAACTATGTGAGGTGAAATAAAAAGTCCAAGCAATCTAGATGCAAACATGATAGCTTACCTTTAGATGCATTCTTGTCTTGTAAGAATATAAGATATGGGTCAAAAGATTGTAGAACAATTTTTTGTACATTTTTTTAGCCTCTTTACAAAAGATATATGATTAATTGGCAATTATGTGATGCTATCATGGGTCTTGATTAGTATAGAGATAATTCTCATAGGTTTCATGGGGTAGAGGTCTATATTTTCCCCCTTCTTTTACTATCGCGAAAATTGAGATATTGTTCTTGTTAGATTTGTCTTGAGGACACCTTCAAAATACCCTTTATGATTTTACTTGTTATAACTGAAGATTTTGGGGATTTCGTGTTTTGTTCTTCGTGCTTAGAAATAGATCAAAGTTGGATAACAACAACAAAGCCTGGTGACCCGGAATATCAACAAGGTGTTAAGGAATTTATTAAATTTGCATTTGAAAATAGTGGAGGTCGCTCCAAGCTACGTTGTCCTTGTTTTATGTGTCATAATTTTTTGCATAAGAGACCGTATGAAATTCTCAATCACTTAAATAAATGGGCATTTGATTAAACATATACCCATTGGATTTGGCATAGGGAACGTAGCGACATGCATGTGGGTGATAGTGGTGAGACTAGGGATAATGTGCGTGGAGTTCATGATGTTGATGGGGGTGATCAGTTGGAGGACATGTTGCATGCGGTTAAAGATCAATTTGATGACAACCCTTCAATGCTTGAGAGCTTGTTAAGCGACTCTGAAAAGCCATTGTATGAAGGTTGCACCAAGTACACGCGATTATCCGCTATTCTCAAGTTATATAACTTGAAGGCAGGTCATGGTTGGACTGACACTAGTTTTAATATGTTATTGGAGCTAGTGAAAGATATGCTTCCCAAAGATAATGTTCTTCCTGATGGTACATATGAGGCAAAAAAGACACTAAGCTCAATGGGTTTACCTTATGAGAAAATCCATGTATGCCCTAATGATTGTGTATTGTATTGAAATCAATACGAATCATTAGAGAGTTGTCCAATTTGTAAAGCTTCACGGTACAAGAAAAGGGAAGGAGCAATACCAGCCAAGGTATTATGGTATTTTCCTATAGTACCAAGTTTCAAACGATGGTTTTCAAAAGCAGAAGATGCAAAGAAGTTGACATGGCATTTTGATAGTCGAGTAGATGATGGAATGCTTAGACATCTAGCCGACTTTCCGCAGTGGAGGTTTATTGATGGAAAATTCCCTAAGTTTGCCAATGAAAAGCATAATTTACGCCTTGCATTGTTTACAGATAAGTTCAATCCATTTAGTTCCTTGAGTAGCACATTGAAAGAAATGGTGTCCTTCGAACAAGGGTACTATTCCGTTAGTGGGTTCAGAATTATTAGAAAACTAATATATTCAGTGAGGTCAAGTGATCGGAATGCCTGGGTGGAGGCCCTTCCGATCAGTAATATTAATGAATAATTAATATTACAGCTTAATCTTGACTGAACCCTTCGGGTCACACCCAAGCATTCAACAAACCGAACCGACGAATTAATTCGGAAGGAATCAATGAGTCGACCGAGTAATATTTATTTAGACGTCGGAAATTCGAGCTTAGAGCGTCGAAACCGAGCGTCGGAAGTCGAGTCGAAAAATAGTGAAAGACGAGACGAGAAATAGTAATAAATCAACAAAAGACCAAAATACCCCTAGCATCGGAATGCCCAAGCAAACCGAGTGCTAAGGGCGTATGGCCTAGCATGGTGGCTAGCATGCGCACCAAGCCGAGCCTAGGCTGGCTGGTGCGTGCTAGCGCACCCATGCTAGCATCCAAGGCTAGGCGCTGCCTAGTGCGTGCTAGCATGCTAGGCGCAGCCTTGTGCGCGCAATGGCTAGCAAGCCATGCCGCAACAAGCTGCAGCAGCTAGCACGCTAGGCGCGCCAGCTCGCCACAGCTAGCAGCAGCATGGCTAGGCCATTGCTTGCTGCCTAGCAGCGCTGGCCAAGGCACAAGGCCAGCAGCAGCCCGCACATACATGCTGCGCTTGCTGCCAGCAGCGCCTGGCAGCTCGCATGCGAGTGCTGGGCCTGCTAGGCTTGCTGGGCGTGGCTGCCACGGACATCAGCACATGGCAGCCCACCTTGGCTGCCTTGGTGCCCAAGGTGGGTGCCATGTGGCTAGTGGTCCTTGAGTATGTGTGGAGTGAGGTGGCCGGTTATGGGAGAGGGAGTGGGGAGCAAGTTTGGTCCCCCCCTTCTCCAAGTGGTCCTCACCTAACCACTCACATGAGCTTGCCACTTGTTGATTTATTACTAGCTTGATTATTGATTTTATTTTAGCTTTAAAATAAAATGAAAAAATCATACTATCCCACATTGATGGGAGAGTAAATGATACTCCCGTCATTTCCTATAAATACCCAAGTATGGGCATTGGGAATGATGCTTGAGTAAGAGTTGAAAAAGGTATCACAATTAGTGAAAACCTTTGAACTCAATATAATTACTCGGGTTTTATTGGTCGGGTCTTGCTAACCTCAAGACATTGGACCTAGTCGGTTTTTTTTGGTGCGGGTGGACTTCGTTGGAGGTCTCCGTGTGAGCAGGACTTGAAGCTTTCAAGTAAGAGCTCATTTTGGAGCAAAGCACGCGTCAAAGGTAATTAGCTTATCTTAACCTTGTGATTAATTTAATTATGTTTATGGTTTTATTTATTGCGAGTGCGGTCTTGTTTTTGGGTTTGTTTCCGCGGTGAGTCGGACTCACCAAACCCTAACAACGGTATCAGAGCCTCGCTCGTTTATTTTCAAAATCATAATATTTTCAAGGTGTTTTTATGGCTTAATTTTTCTTGTTTTAAGTTGCTAATTAGATTAGTAACTCGTTTTTCCAATTTTTACCTCGTAATAGAGCTGTCTTCAGCTCCCGAACCCAGATTTCGACCCAAAAATAGAGAATTTTGGGTGGACCAGAAATGCATTTTTAGGACTCTGTTTTTAGCCAAAAAAACGACCAGAAATGCATTTTTCGAGGGATTTTTCTTTTTGACGAAAAATTTTAAGTCTTTCTAACCTTGAAAATTGATTGCATATTTATGGTGGTTATGAATTTGGTTCTTTCCTTTATTTATATGCAATTTTAGACCACTTTAAGCATGATTACTTGGTAGTAATTGGTGCTTGAAAGTTTGGTTTTATTTTTTCACATAATTGCAAATTAATTGTATTAAGTGTGAAATAGTTGTTCTTTGTTGCTTCCAAGTACTAAAGATTCAATCTTTATTTATGATAAGTGATAAAAACTTTGAGTTACTAAATTCCATGAATTTTGGTTAAACTTTGTTGATTTAATCATTTTTTAGTTGATTGGAATCATAAATTTTAAAACTTGTGATTGAAATTGGTTTATCTTCATATTGGAAGATATAATTTTTTTCATGGATTCACAAGTATTAAAGTTGGAGTCTTTATTGAACTTATGTTCATTTTTCCAACTCCCTTTTATTTTGTCAAAATCTCAAGATTAATTTAAAGTGATTAAATTAATAGTGAGAATTGCCCTAATTTATTTTATTACACCACGTCAAACCAATTTTATTAAAGAATGGTTCTTGAAAATAAATTTGGTTAATTGCATTTGGATGAATTATTTAAGTTGGACTTGTTAATTTTCATTTTTCCTCAAAATTGATTCTAAAATTAATTTAGAATTGATTTATAATGTCACACACAAAATCGATAATTTTCGAAGCATTAGCACGCAACACGAGGCCTAAGAGCCCCGAGCTAGCTTTCGGCCAGCTGGGCTGCTCACGCAACCCATATGTGGCTGCCGAGGCTGCTGGGCACTTCGTTTTAAGGTGCTTGGTGTTGTGCGTGTGTGTGTGCGAGGAAGGGCGTGGGCTGTTGCTCGCTGCCAGCAGCATAGCGCGCCAGCCAGCAGCAAATAGCAGCATGGCGCAGCAGCAGCATAATGTTGTGCGCGCTGCTACGCTTGGCTGGGCTGGGCGTAGCGCATGCGAGCACAAGCAGCCCACATGCATGGTTGGTGTTGCGGGGGTGCGCATGGGCATACTACGTGCTTGTTGTATGGTACGTACAATCCCATAATTGGCACAATAACCCCGGGTTATTAAGGCGATGCTATTTTAAAGTTAATTTTAGCGTTGCTTAATATGTAAATAAGGGTATTTTTTTGGACTCCAAGTCTTAGTGCTAGGCACTTAGACATTTTGGAATTCGTAATTTTGCTTAAATTGTCGTTTTAATTATTTTGTTTATTTAATTAAAATTTTTGGAGGCTAGGCCTCAGGTTTTGAGCGACATTTGCAAAATTAATTTTGGCAAATATTTGGGTTCACCGACTTAATTAATTGGATTAGTTAAGTTGGATGATGAATTTAGTGGGAGCGTCTCTAAGTTATTACCATAACCGGTTAAAACAACTTTGACTAGTTTAATTAGGCGTGTTAATTGGATTAACCACCTAGATTAGTTACTAGTTCTCGCGCGTTTTATGCATTGTTACTTGTTTATCGTAGTAAAATGCATGGGCCATTCAGAGATAGTGAAAGGATGAATGGAATGTAAATTCTCTCACAGGTTTTATGAAATGGCAACTAGTGGGGCCCGATTAGGATAGAAAATACGGACTGTGATCCGTGATGTATTTTTTGTAAATCTAAATACGGTCTGCGAACCGTTGAGTATTTTTGTACCTTAATATTTAGATTAGTCCTAATTGTAGATACTAGCAATTGTAATATTTTGGTCAAGTCTTGAAAACGGGGTTCTTAGAAGACAAAGCCATGAAGTTGCAAATGAAGACCTTTTGAAGACTTGAAGATCTCAAGGGGTCATGCTAGTTGCCAAATGCATCTCTATTTATGTTTTCGATATATATTTATGTTTATATATATATATGAATTATATGTTAGATGCATGTTTAGGATTTCGAATGTTGAGATGATGAATTAAGTTCACTTAAATCAACCAACATAGAAATCCTAGGTCCCTAAAATATTGAGTAAAACTTGCCATTCCAAAACACACTTACCAACCGAACGAGGGTAGTGGTGGGCTACGCCAAAGCGAGGCATCACTACTTCTCCAAGAACGTAAGGCATACCGGGTATGCAAGGTGGTTTTGGTTATATTCAACGATATGAGTGATGGAGTCCTAACATGTCGTGGCAAAGTGAATAAATTGTTTAGAGAGCATTGGATGCGACGATTTATTCAACCAAGAGTGGCTTGGAGCCATTAGCAAAGCGTTTCTTACCTTAGAAGATTGAGTGTTAAGACAAGCCAAAGCATGCTTAACCACTCTTTGTTTCTTTGGATCTTGGAATCGAATTATTCTCACCTAAAATGGGGACAATCTTTAATGTGTAAATAAGACGTTTTAAATAAGTTTGATTAAAATGCATGAATTCAATCTTATTTAAGTATAATGAATGGTTTTTCATTTCAAATTCTTTCAATTGTAGAATCATGTCTTCAAATAACTCAAACAACCAATTCTCATTACGCTCAATTCTCGACAAGGAGAAGCTGAGTGGGCCAAATTTTTTTGATTGGCAAAGGAACTTGCGAATTGTTCTCATGAAAGAGCAAAAGGAATATGTCCTTGATGAGGAAATGCCCGAAGCTCCTAATGAGGAGGTGACTCAAGCTGCCCTAAATCGATGGCAAAGTGCCAATCGAGATGTCAAATGCATCATGTTGGCCACAATGTCTCCTGAGCTTCAAAAGACTTTCTTTGAAAAAGAGATGGCTTTTGAGATCATTTCTGAATTGCAGAATATGTTCCAAGAGCAGGCCCGAACTGAAAGGTTTGAAACCCACAGGCAGATCCTTGAGAGCAAGCTCAAGAAAGGAGAGCCAGTCAGCCCACATGTACTCAAAATGATTGGATTGTTTGAAA